TGTAACAATATAGAGACATTCAATCTCTACTACTGCTCTGTTTATGGTTTTGGTGGTTTGAATTGTTATTATATTTTAAGAATCACAGATTGTAATACTTTATAGGGATGAATCATGCTGTAATTGTAATATGTGGATGAAGCATATAGTGATCGTGATATTCTAAAGTTTCAAACTTTCTTTCTTTGGATAAGGCATACAGTGATTGTAATACTTTTTTAAGTCATTGACTGTAATACCTTTTTTTTTCTTTTTTTTAAGGAAGTGCACAAGTTGAATTATGTTGAAAATTTATAAAATTTTAAACCGCCAAACCGATTCGCATCCATCCGCCAAACCGCTAATCCGCTCAATCCACGTCCGCCGGATTGGCGGACGGATGCGGATTGATTTTCTTCAATCCGCCAATCTGACGGACGGATGGCGGATTGGAGGTTTCGTGGCCGCAACCGACCCGCGCCCACCCCTACTTGTAGAAGAGTGTAGTTTGCAATTGGCTAATGCAATTGTCCTATTTTGATTTACTCAATTTGTATTATTTTAGAGAAAACCTAAATCACTAATCAACATCAAAATAGAACTCATGTATATACACACAATTCAATCCAAAACATCTTGAATGAAGGTATAAAGATCCTAAAAAATCATAATTATATCTCTTTTGTAACGACAGAGTTAACATTTTGAATGGGAGCTATTTGAGGCAAAGGAATTGATCAACTCGGTTTAGTTTGATTTGGTTTAATCATGCCTTCAATATTCAAGAAATCTATATATGTACTGATTAGAATCAACACAATATATATTGATTAGAATCAACACAAATTGATTGTAATGAACTATATACGTCTCTTTATGCAATATTGCCCAAATTTGGTGCAATTGTAATATTGCTTGTCTATGTAGTATGGTGCGTCATATAATAGTATGACGGTGTTCATTGATGTGCAAATTTGTACTCTTGGAAGAGATATACACTGGAATACTAGATTTTGTTCATATTTTAGAAATAAAGAGAAAAGGGATGGACCATAAAAGATTTAGGGAGCACAAATAAAAATTTTGAGAGAGTTAATTGAAAAAAAAAAATAAAATAATTCCAATATCATAGGTTCAACAATAATTTTACAAGATTTGAGGGGTAGCTGCGCCTAACCAAATTAATGAGTTTTAAGGTAAATTATAATAAACCTTTTAAAGTATGATGCATTTATATTTTACCTATCTAAACTTTAAAATTAAATAAGTGTACTTTTTGACTTTTTATGAAATATGGGTTGGGTTTGGGTTGGGTTTGAAGTGATGTATTAGAGAGGTGATGTGACTTAAATAAGATGATGTGACTTAAATAGGATAGTGACTTTTTGACTTTTTGTCTTTTTTCAATCTTTGAGGGGTAGCTGCCCCTAACCAAATTAATAAGTTTTAAGGTAAATTATAATAAACCTTTTAAAGTATGATGCATTTATATTTTACGGCCTAGTTTGGGAAGACTAAATAAGTGTACTTTTTGACTTTTTATGAAATATGGGTTGGGTTTGGGTTGGGTTTGAAGTGATGTATTAGAGAGGTGATGTGACTTAAATAAGATGATGTGACTTAAATAGGATAGTGACTTTTTGACTTTTTGTCTTTTTTCAATCTTCCCAAACTAGCCTCTAAACTTTAAAATTCAATAGTTAATTCTTTCAAAATATTATTTTATTATATTTAACTCTTTTTGTTAGGATTTTATTAGGAATTTGTAAAAAATAAAATCTTGTGTAAAGAATATGACACATTTATTAAATTTGTTTAAATAATAATACCCGCTATTTGATTATTTTAGGATAATAATATTTTTATCTAATAATTTCATTTGTACTTTGTTTCTCTTATCTTAGTGACAAAGTGTAAATGAGATCACCAGATTATTGTGTTCAAAATTCAATAAATGTGCCACGTACTTTATACATAATCGGATTTTTTGAAATTTTTTTAACAGAATTCTAACAAAAAAATATTAATCGTAATAAGATAATATTTTAAGAAAATTAATTGTTGAATTTTAAAATTCATATGAATAAAATACAAATGAATTATACTTTAAGAGATTACTAGTATAATTTACCTTAGGTTTTGATTGCTTCAAAGAAAAGATTATTATCATTAACCCACTAGTCGACGAATGGTAATAATTTCCAGAATCAAGGGGGATTCATCGATCGCCAACTGTAAGGTCAAATTCTGTTAATTAACTTTTCTACATATTACTGATAAGAGTTTAGGATTTTAATACTAGACAAGGGCTTTTTGCAATAATTTAAAATAAAACTAAAGACAATATTTTGTTTATTATTCTCCTTATAGTTTGAGAAAAAATTGTCTTATTCTCTCTAGTGCCTCTCATATTGTTTATATGCCTTTCATGTGATAATATACTTCATTAATTTTTACAATAAGGTTGATAGAAGAATCATATTAAAATTCTTTAAATGAATATAAAGTTAACATCATTATAATTAAAAATTAAAAAAACTAAATTGAAATGTTATTTGTTAATTTTTATATTAACAGATGAACCATATTAAAATTATTTTAAAAATATGAGGTTAACATTATTATATTTAAAAGTTGAAGTACTAATTGAAATTTGACTAAAAACTTGGAATATAAATTAATAAACTTTAGAGAAATTTTACTATACACATCCTTATCATATGCACACCTAAGTTATCTCATTTTTTTTTTTATTTTATGACAATTTTTTTTACTTTAGTTATAACCTTATTTTAGTTATGACTTGTGAAATCTTTATTATGATTTTTTTTTTAATTATGACTCATAAAATATGAAGTTATGCCATTTTTTCTTTAGTCATAAAGTACATACGATACACCTTTTGATGGATTATGTCACAGTCTTTCTAACTTTTGGGTGTATATATAGAGAATTTTTTTTAAAATTTTGTTTGGTTCAAATTTTTTTAAATTTTTTTCCAAACTCACTTTCTCTCTCCTATATATCAATTAATCACTTTTTTTCTCACACACATCTAGTCAACTACAATAAAATATCAAATCATCAAACTCCCAAACTTCAAAATTATTTTCAAAATATACAATCAAACAAATCAAAAAAAATTCTAAACTATGTCCCTAAATTTTTTTTTTGAAAATTTAGGCCTTGTTTGGCTTGGTTTTGAGAAACAAATTTTGGAGAAATTTTTTTAAAATTTTGTTTAGTTTAGTAATTTTGGAAAAAAAATTCCAAAATCGCTTTCTATCTCCTATACATCAATCAATCACTTTTTCTCTCTCCTCTCTCATTCTCAATCATTTTTTCTCTCACACACATCTACTCAATTACAACAAAATATCAAATCATCACAAACTCCTATACTCCAAAATTGTTTCCAAAATATACAACTAAATAAACTAAAAAAATTTCTAAACTTTTTTCCTAAATTTTTTTTTGAAAATTTATCTCCCAAAATCAAACCAAACAAGGCCAAACTAAATACATCCATGGTATTTCATTTACTTATGTAGTTACATATTTTTGTGAGAACTTACAAAACGTTTTATGGATTAATTAACTTATGTGAATTTGTGGTAAGTTACATTATTTTATGAGGTAACTTACATATATTTGTCAAAATTTATGTCAAATTATGATTGATTGTTCAATTTTCGACTATCTGCTTCAAAAAGATAGTTGTAAGAATAAAACTTCTTCAATTAGAATATAGATGAGGTTAGAAATGTATGATTGAGATAGCTCGATATAAGGAATTCTAGATGCCTTTTAATCTCATTATTTACTGATTAAAAAAAGAAGAGGGTGTTAATGACACCTTTCAAATTTTTATAAATTAACTTGTGTTAATTTATATTTAAGTTATATGAATTTATATTTAAATTGCGTGATTTTATAAAGTAATTTATATATATATTTAAAAATTTATGTCAAATTATAATTTTTTAAATTTATAAAAATTAATTTACATATATTTATATTTAAATTACGTAAACTATTACATATTTGTGTGACATGTTTACATACTCTTTTGCAACTGGTGTGAGCACTTTCCATACATGTTGTCGCAAATGGTGTGAACACTTTCCATACATATTGGGCTTGTTTGGTTTGTTTTTGAGAGGGTTTTTTTGAAAAAAAAATTTAAGAGAGAGTTTAAATTTTTTTTTGATTTGTTTGGTTGTATATTTTGAAAGAGTTGTTTTTTTGAAAGTTTGGGATGATTTGATATTTTAGGAGAATTTGAGTAGATGTGCGTGAGAAAAAAGAAAAATGCTTTAGAGCACTAAAAAGAGATCACTAGAAGGAGTACTAATGATGTGGTAGTGGGCCCCGCCCACTTTCTATGCCTTGTTTTTATTTTTTTATTATTTTTTTTGCCATTTCCAATATATTAGTGCTATTAGTGATGTATTTTTTAGTGGTCTAAATCATTGTTGGAGAGAAAAAGTGATTAAGAGTGAGAGAGGAGAGAGAAGGAGAATTTGAGTAGATGTGCGTGAGAGAAAAGAAAAATGCTTTAGAGCACTAAAAAGAGATCACTAGAAGGAGTACTAATGATGTGGTAGTGGGCCCCGCCCACTTTCTATGGCTTGTTTTTTTTTTTTTATTATTTTTTTTGCCATTTCCAATATATTAGTGCTATTAGTGATGTATTTTTTAGTGGTCTAAATCATTGTTGGAGAGAAAAAGTGATTAAGAGTGAGAGAGGAGAGAGAAAAAGTGATTGATTGATATATAAGAAAGAAAGTGATTTTAAAATTTTTTAAAAAAACCCTCAAAACAAACAATTTAAAATTTTTTTTTTCTAAAACTCATCTCCAAAATACAAACCAAATATACTCATTGTCTTTCAACAGAAAAGACAAAAGAAGTTAAAGAGCACGTCAACCGTCAAATTGCTTCGCGAAGGTCCAGAAAAGGCTTCTTTTTCAGTCCTCTTTTTCTCGATACATCATACATCACCTTTTCTTTGTTATCTTCATTTTCTCATCCACAATCCAATCAATCACCCAGAAAAAAAAAAAAAAAAACTATATAAAGCAGAGAAAACAAATAAACTCGTGAGAGAGAAAGTTTTGGAGAGAGGGGGACGGTTGGCGGCTGAAACCTAACTTTGGAGGGAGAAAATTCAGTGGGTTCACATTAGATCTGAATTTTCAGTTTTGGGTTTTTCTTCACGGACCTTGTTGGATTGAATTGGAAGTTCTTTGAACCTGATCAAGTTTGTTGCTTTATCAAGTTGTTTGAGTAAATGTATTTTTTAGTTGTTTTTATTTCTTTCAATTGGGTTTAGTGGGTTGTAGTCACATAAGATCTGAATTTTCTCTTTTGGGTTTTTTCTTCACGGGCATAGTTGGACTGAATTGGAAGTTCTTTTAACCTGACCAAGTGGGTTGGTTGATCAAGTTGTGTTTGTGTAAATGAGGGTTTAGTGGTTTTTATTTATTTCAATTTGAATCTGTATAGAGCAGAGTTTGTGAGAAATTTTGAAGCTCTGTTTCTTCCATGGGGCTTTGCTGGAGCAATCTAATCAAAGATGATAGCCCATTTCATACAGGTACTTTATATATAATAACTGTGTATTTGTGTATGCATATGCTTTTGGTTCATTGGGATTTAATTATTTTTCACTACTGTTTGCTATGTTTCGGGTTTTATTTTGCTCTAATGATTTGGTTCTGTTTTTGGTTTCATTGATTATATTCTTCGTTTTTCAGAAATAAAATAGTGTAAAGTTCAAAAGAACCCATCATTTTTTTTTTCTTCATGGTTTTCAATTTTGTACAAAATCAATTTTGCTCTGTTTGATGTTTCCTAAAAGTGGGTTCCCAAAATTGTTTTCTGAATAGTTGCCAAACAAGTTCATCGATTCTTCAATTTTTTGTAGTGTTGTTTATAGTTTCTGAAAAATCAAACACTCGGTCAAAGCAAGGCATTTAATTACTCCTATATTAAACTTTAATTCAATGAGCTTCTGTATTTGGGTTTTAAATTATGAAAATCAACATACAAAAAATGGAAAAAAAAGCTATTTAAAAAATTGATTATATTTTTCCTCATTGAGGAAAAGAGAAGAAATGTTCTAGTTTTTATTTTTTGTGTTTTCATAAACAAAGTAATGAATATAGTTTCTGGGAAATCAAACACTTGGCGTGACTAAACCATATAATTATATTATCATTGATTCAATGGGCTCCTCAGCTATGAAAATCAACAAACCCAAGAATGATCAATATCTCCCCCCCCCCCCCCCCCCAAACCAAAAAAAAAAAAAAAAAAGATTTGAAAAATTGAATTTTCAATAACTGGAGTTTGCTTTGTTTATGCCATTTCAAACTGGTGTGTCTTCAGGGGGGGTTCTACTGAAACCTTAATACATGATGGTTACTTTTGTGTTGATACCACAATTTGATGTTTAATGGTGTTGATTGAGTCTGGTAATTCTTGTCTTTATAAACATAATAGCATTTGGTTTGTATAGGAGTGAATTCGAAAAATCAGGTCAGAGATGGAAACGATCTGAGCAATTTGAGTGGCAAGTCAGCTAACAGACCCCCGACACCTCGGAATGAGGATGAGATCTTGGAGTCCTCCAACTTAAAGAGCTTCATGTTCTGCGAACTGAAAATGGCTACCAGAAACTTTCGTCCGGATAGCGTATTAGGAGAAGGTGGATTTGGTTCTGTTTTTAAGGGGTGGATTGATGTGCATTCACTTATGGCTGCAAAGCCCGGGACTGGATTGGTGATTGCTGTGAAGAAGCTTAATCAAGAAGGTTATCAGGGTCACAAGGAATGGTTGGTGAGTTTCGCCCTCTTAAAACTCCTTGTGTCAGGTGGATGTAGAAGAGTATTTGTGATATGGGCAATTTTAATTTAATTCCCACTTTTGTCACAGGATAGACTAGTACAATTAAAAAAATCAAATAGATGTTGCCACTATGGTCATTTCCTAACAATTTAAGCTCTTGAGCCAATTGCTGATCTAATATCATCTTAGAGCTTTGGTTCTGATAGGTCTAGGGTTCAAGTTTTTCTATTTGCATTCGATCCCCATTTGGTATGTTTGTTTTTTTGTTTGTTTGAACTCTGCGTGGCTATTTGCTATGTTACATAGACTCTGGTATGGGTTTTAGATATAGGTACGCTTCTAACTATAGGATTAATCTAAATCTTATGTCAAGGTCACCTAAACACGGCTATATTTCATAGTTCTTCAAGATTTTTTTAGTATTGTAAGGCTAAAATGTTGTTTTAAAACTAAAATATAGCATTTTGTGTATAAAATGGAAGTTTTATGCATTGTTATATAATAAATTCGACTACTTATACATACTTGTTGGGTGTATTTCCAACTAGGCATAGACGGGGCTGCATGTGAGGAAGGTTGTTAGATAACTTGATATACAATGTTGAACCCCTTTACTACAGCTTAAGTTTTTGAGGCATTTGTGATCTAATAGTTTGTAGTTCTATTTGTCGTTCACTTGTTCCGATAAATTATGTCTTCGCAAAGCTGTGGTGTCCAAAAGATTTCAGATCCATCTGAAACAGCCAATTTTACGTTACTTCTTTTGGATATACAGGCAGAAATCAACTATCTTGGGCAGCTTCATCATCCGAATCTTGTGAAATTGATTGGTTACTGTTTAGAGGATGACCATAGGCTTTTGGTGTACGAGTTCATGCCCAAAGGCAGCATGGAGAACCACTTATTCAGGAGTAAGTTCTTTGTTAGATTCTATAAACTTCCATTTACACTTCAATCTCTGGGAAATTTGTAATTGACATATCATAGTATTGTTGAAACAGGAGGGACTCATTTCCAGCCACTTTCTTGGAGCAAGCGTATGAAAGTCGCTCTTGGTGCAGCAAAGGGACTTGCCTTTCTTCACAGTGCTGAGACAAAAGTTATATATCGGGACTTCAAAACATCTAATATACTTCTTGACTCAGTACGTAGCTCAAGATTGGATCTATGGGTTGCATTTCAGTAATTTGGTTGAATTATGCACTTTTTTAACTTCTTGCTGACTTTTTTTCTACTCTGCCGTCTTTTTCGTTTTCACAGAATTACAATGCAAAACTATCTGATTTTGGGTTGGCCAGGGATGGGCCAACTGGTGATAAGAGCCATGTGTCCACTAGGGTCATGGGAACCTTTGGATATGCTGCACCGGAGTATCTATCCACAGGTATATTTTCATGTGTAGTTTCTTCCATAAATTCATTGAGCCGTGTAAACTTACTAGTTTCCATTAAAATTTCTTTTCTTCAATAAAAATTGATGTTTGGTAGTCATTTTCAGAGTTAATGTTCGAAAAATCCATAAATTAAATTCCAACATGAAAATAAAACAAAAATCACATTTAAAAAATTCTAATTTCAGTCTTTCAAACTAACTCGCCTCATATCATTAAGATTAGACATGTCAACAGACTAGATTTTATATGAATATGACCCAACCCGACTTGGAAATCTGAATCCATTATGCTGTGTTTGGTTGAGGGATTTGGGAAGCGATTTGGAAATGGAAAGGAAAAGGAAAAAGGTGTGTGAAGTTATGTGAAATGTAGATATATTTTATTCATATTTCACCTTAATTTTTCCTTTCCTTTTTTCTTTCCAAATCTCTTCTCAAATCCCCCAACCAAACACAGTATTAATGATTATCCAATCCGATAATCCGATAAAATACAGATTATATCAGAGCTATTATGGTTGGATCAGATTCTGATATATTCGATCCAATTTTTGTACTTCAATTTTTATATGTATATATAGGACTATCATTATATTTTAAAAATAACATGCAACAACAACAAAATTTAAGAAGGTGAAATTCGAATAAAAAAATAGTCTCACAACGAATCTGGTTGGCATCAGATTTTGGATGGGATACCTAGATAAACCGAATTCAAATTTGGATGGTCTTTTGTCCAATTTTTCATAATCAGATTGGATTTGGGTATAATTGGATTGGATTTGGATTACACCAGATCCCATCCGAATCTGGTCTGTTGACAGGCCTAATTTAGATGGTCTTCCCATGGACCATGATTGACGGAAGTGTCAGCTCTAACTCTTCATATGCCTGGTTTTCTTGATTCATCCTATTAACATCAGTTACTCGTAATTTTTGGGATATTATTAGTCACTGCACTTTGCAATGTATTACTAGTTCAACGACAAAAAAGCCATATATCATTTGTTCTGATCATTCATTCCATCTTTCTCTGTGAAGGTCACTTAACTGCCATGAGCGATGTATACAGCTTTGGAGTTGTTCTTTTAGAGATGTTAACTGGCAAACGAGCAATAGACAAGAACCGTCCACAAGGACAGCAAAGCTTGGTGGAGTGGGCAAAGCCATATCTGGCCCATAAACGTAAAATTTTACGCATTTTGGATGTTCGTATTGAAGGCCAGTATTCACTGAGTCAAGCCCTAAAGGCAAGTAACCTCGCGCTTCAATGTCTCTCCGTGGAACCGAAGACTAGGCCAATCATGGATGAGGTGGTAACAGCTTTAGAACAGCTTCAAGACTCAAAGTGATGTGGTGAAAGGCGCACAAAAACGAGCACAAGTCTATATGTATAAATTAACTTTTATTCTTTTGGGTGATGGGGGAGTGAATGTAGCAACAGTTTTTCTCTCCTGATTTCAGGAATTCGGGCATGTTCTATACATACACCTATGTTTTGTTAAACCAGTGTATAGTTTCATTTTTTTTTATTTTTTCCTAGGGTTTGATGGTATTTAATATCTCTCTACTTTTGATGCGTGGTGGTAACATTTGGAATGATGGAGCATTAACGAATGTTGATGATATCAATAAATGAATGGTTTATAAGAGCATCTCCAGCAAGAATTGTCAAAATAGCTATTCAAAATTTTACTTTACTATTTTAGTTGGTCATTTTTTTAATATACATTCCAACAAAATTATCTATTTTAGCTATCTTTCTTCTTTCAAATATTATGTTTTATTCTTTCTTCTTTCAAATATAACATTTATTAAAAAAAAAAAAAAGTTGAAGAGCACACCTGTCCAGAGATCAACGCGAGGGACGAAGAAAATAACAAAAAATTAAGACGCTAGAGCACAATGCCCCGTCTTCTTTGACGAGTTATTGTAGCTCAAAATCATTTTAGCAAGCTTCTGGTGAGGCTGTTGGAGATTATTTTTGAGCTTGAAAGTAGCTGAAATAACAAATTTGGTAATATAATGATTCAGCTGGAGATGCTCTAAGGGAACTAGGTAATGGCGAGTTGGACAATATGATGATGAAATGAGTTGGATTTCCTTCTACGATGTACGTCTTGACCAGGCACTTTGATGGGCAGCCGCCTTTACTGTTGCACATCCCGATCAGACCGCTCGCCAAACCTAGTATGCTGGGTCGAATTTTGGGCTATACTGTTGGTCGCGAGTTGGCCTGGCCTGATGAGTGGGCCATCTTCACAGGCTGGGCTCATGTTACTTGTGTATTCCTCAAATTGCAAAATTAATGTTCTTACTGCTGTGAAAGCATGGATTTTGATTTTTAGAAAGGAAAAGAATTGGGTTTTCTTTGTAAATGCTTTTCCCTTCTGGTTCAAGTACACTGTTTTGAAATGGAAGGTATTGTTGCCAAGTGTTGGTTTGGCTCTTGTCAAAGCCGTGTAAAGACAGCTGTATATTGTGTATGTTTTCAAACGATGCTTTTGACCCACAAAGGGATTGTTACACATTTGTTTTTTCTGTTTTTCTTACAAGGAACTTGCAAAAACATATCTCTATGTTTGTGTTGTGGAATTATGTGGGATTGGATAAATATAATGCCAGGACAAGTAATCCCAGCAAAGCATGCATATCCTAGTTTTGTGTTGGATGCAAGATTGGATACAATTACAAATTATTTTTTATTAGTTGCACACATATTACATATTAAATTACAAATTATTTTTCTATAAGTTGCACACATATATGAGTGGCTGGTAAAATAGTTAGTAATTTATTGGTTTCCTTGAGGAGAGAGCGAATATTATGGGTCTAAAAAAAATTATCAATTTGTCAAGCTACACCAATCTATACAAGTTGGGTTAGGCAACTTAGATGATAAAAATTGGTGGATTGATTAGCTTTTTGTTTAAAATTTATTAACTTGCCTACTAGAAACTGATTTAAAATTATATTGCATTTGCTCACATATTATTTATGTTGGTATTTTTTCAAAAAAATAGAAAAAAAAAATATAAAATGAATTAAATAGAAATGACAAAACAATTATTATTATTATTTTTTATTATTAAAGAATGAAATATACAATGAACTATTAAACTAAAAAAAACACAAGAATGAACTAAATTGTATCATGGAACATATTACAAGATGGATTCAAATGGACATATAAAATAATATACGAGAAATTATTTAAATTTAAAACTTCGAAGAACAAAAGATAAAGGATGCAAACCGAAATCTGTGTGATACCACAGTTTTCTTAAAACAGTTTTATCGCCTCCTGGTGGGTATTGGAGGTATGCCGATGTCTATCTCTCAGGATACGACGGTCGAAACCAGCTAATGCAGAAGCACCTTCTGAATAGCTTCGATGAACTTGACAATGGTTGCACTCTCTCTAACAAGAACCAAAGAAGGGGCTAGCAAAAGAAGATAGGAAAATTTTTCTTTGGTATAAAATAAATATCTCCAACTTTTTATCTCAAAACGCCATCTCCATTTTTTATAAAAAATCTCTCTAAAAAACTTCTTTTCAAGTTGGAGAGAAAAGGCCTCTATTTATCCAAGTAGAGAAATCCCAAGCCATGAAGACTATACATCAATAGGGACATCAAATGTCATTAACCAAGACCATCAACTCTAGCCATTAGGGCTAGAGTTACAAAGGTTGAAAACCTATGGCCACTAATATGGTCATCAACTCCATTATCAAAAGATGAAAGTTATAAAGGTCTGAACCTCCCATGTGCTTAATATATACAAATAAATATGTATATAATGATGTTTGAATTAGAGCTGTTCAAAAATCCGTTCAAACTGGTAATCCAGACCGAATCGGACCGAATCTTACGGTTTGGTTCGGTTCGGTTCTATTAAGAATTGGTTTGGTTTCGGATTATGAAATATGAGAACCGTAAAAATGGTTCGTTTAATGGATTTTAAAAATGGTTCGTTTAATGGATTTTATGAAAAAATCGCGGTTCGAACCGAACCGAACCGAATTTAAAAATATATATATATATATATAAAATATCAAGTTTTATTTTTATTAATTGGTTTTTTATAATTTTAATGATATTAGGATGGTATAGATATGTAATATTGAGTAATGCCTTAATATTATTAGTTTTTATCATGAGTTAAATGTAATTATGTTGCTAATATTAATAATTTATTCTTGTAAATAGAAATTTTTGGAACCGTGAACCAAACCGAAACTGAACCATTTTTTCGGTTTGGTTCTGGTCCGATTTTACAAGTGTAATGGTTTGGTCTGGTTCTCAAAATCATAGAACCGTTAGCATCGGTCCGATTCTTGGATTTTCTTAGAACCGAACCAATCCGGACTGTGTACACCCCTTGTTTGAATAAGCCAACTAGATGGGTTACAAAATGGATACTAATGTTGGGTCATAACCCGATCCAAACCCAATTCTCAAACACATGCACAAGTTAAACCCAACACAACATAGCTTAACCCAAGCTTAAGATTAAGTCCAAGTCTAAGTCAAAGACCAAACCCAGCACATGCACAAGTCTAGACTTAGTCCAAACTAAGACTAAGTCTAAATCTAAGCCCAACTTTATTGAGCCCATTTTATGAGACAATTCTCATTCACAACTCAATAGTTTCGGCTCACTATTTTTATATTGTAATCTTCTCACTTGAGAGAATACAATACCACTCAGACTCACCTTAACCAGCGGTTGGGTCCCATTTTAATTTTGAATTAAAGCTGCCGAAAACCATTATTTTCCAACAATCCCTCACATAAATAAAATTGGCTAAATAAAGAAAAATGAACAATGCTCAATAACAATTACTCGGAGAGAGAGCACACAAAATAACCCTACATCAGAAAAGGTAGCTGTTGGCCTTGAACCTTTCGTAGTGAAAGCTTATCGGATTTACTGGCTGATTACCGAATGTGATGTCTTGAACTATTCCACCGTTTGTGTAAACCAAGACAATAGACCTCACATAGGAGTCATTCCAACCATTGTTCTTGTTCTCACTGGTATGTCCGGTTTGGCCCTGAAACACTAGCTTGGTTTAGTGAGTGTTTTTAAAGAATTCGGTCTCGTCAATTCTTAAAAAAGCGGCCCCACGTCGCACTTACATAGGTGACCTACACAAGGTATCTCGTTATACCACAGTTGACTATTCACAACACTTAGGTTATTAAAAGCATCAGCTTAACCTTCTACCCCACAGGATATCACTGTATAAAGGAATGGCCAAGAGGATTTTCCTCTTCAGTGACTTACCCGTTACACGTAATTAGGTTGTCCCTTTGAACCTAGATCTTGAGATCTCCAGTTATCTAGGTAGGGCTTTTTGTTGCGATAACATTCGCTAAAGGCCTTAACCCCATTCCTCTTAACGACTTCTTACTAACTTTCAATTTATCTCTTTGGTTAGCGAATCCACAATATTGTCTTTAGACTTTATGTAGTCTGGAGTGACAACATACGAGAGTAGTTGTCGTATGAAATTATGTCTTCGACGAAAATGTCTAGACCTTCTATACGACAATACTTAATTAGTTGTCGTAAAGTATACAAAATTGTTAGCACAAGTTTTGATCAACATAGAATATCGAAAACGACAAAGCCATTCAGCTACTTCAGTAGCTTTATTTGAATAATGGAATTCTGATTCCATAATTGATCTCATGATACACATATGCTTGGAAGATCTTCAAGACACGGTTACAACTCCAATTAGAGAAAACATATCCACTAATGGATTTGTAGTCTTTATATCAGATATCCAGTAGGTGCCTTTGTACCTTTCAAGTACAACTGGATATGAAGTGTTATGCAATTCATAAATCCCGGGTGTAGTGCAAATAATCCAACACCCGCATAATGCCCTTCCAATGAGTAACATTAGGATTACTCGTGTATCTACTAAGCTTGCTACCTGAGTAGGCTATACTTGGCCTTGTACAACTCATCAGATACTTTAAACGTCCATTGACCCAAGAATATACTAGTTGAAATACACTTTCACTATTATTCTCAGCCAAATGTAGACATAAGTCTACTAGTGTCCTCGACACACTTGTATCTGATTTACAAAATTTCTCAAGTATTTTATCAATATAATGAGACTGAGAAAGTACAATGCCACCAGATGTTCTAGCATTTTTAATACCCAGAATTATATCTGCAAGGCCCATATCTTTCATATCAAACATAGAATACAACATCCATTTAGTAGTATTGAATATCTTCTCAAATATTCAAACCTTAAAGATTTATTCAACTAAATCTTCATATAGGAAAGCTATCTGAACATCCATCTTGAAGTATTTCCAGAAGTCGCACAATTGCGATCACATTCACTATAATTGGTGATCACGTATCAAAGTAATCCAAGCCTTTTCTTTGCTGATATCCTTTGATAACAAGCCTATTTCATCGGCTTTCATTCACTTATATCCCAAGACTTATTACCTATGCAAGATAATGCTAAATTTTCTAAAGAAATCACAGTTTCAAAGAAGCTGTAGCCTCACTAGCTACCATATAGGTTTAAGAAGATTAGAGAGAAGAACTTTAAAGTCTTATCATTTTAACATCTTCTAGGCTCATCTTTTTTTCTTATGAAAACCATTTCCTCAAT